AATTGCCCGGGTCCAAATGGATTGACAAGTGAATTCTACCAAACATTTTAAAGAACAATTGATTTCTCTGCTATATAAACTGGAAAAATAGGTGGAGTCCTCCCAAATTCATTTTATGACAGAAATATGTTGCTGATACCTAAACCAGGAAGAGCCAAAATGGAGAAAGAAAACTATAGATGAATTTCCGTAAAGAACATTGATGCAAAAATTTTAAATAAAATACTTGTAAGGAGATTGCGGCGATATATCACCATGATCATACACTATGACCGGGTGGGATTTATACCAAGAATTCAAGGCTAGTTCAATATTAGGAAGAATATCAGTATAAATGAATCTTATCAATAACAATTTCAAGAGAAGTCATATGATTATCTCACTAGATGCAGAAAAAGCCTTTGATAAAACACAAAAGAGCATAGGGATAAATGGAGCTTTCCTTAAAATGATAGGTAGTATCTATTTAAAGCAATCAGCAAACATCTGTAATAGGAATAAGCTAGAAACCTTCCCAGTAAGATCAGAGGTGAAGGACATCAGATGATGCCCATTATCACCATTATTATTCAGTACCCTACTAGAAATGGTAGCTATAGCAGCAAAAGAAAAAGAAATTGAAAGAATAAAGATAGGCAATGAGGAAACAAAGCTTACTCTTTGTAGATGATATGATGGTATATTTAGAGAATCATCTAGTTGAAATAATAACTTTAGCAAAGTTGCATGATATAAAAGAAACCCACATAAATCATCAGCATTTCTATGTATTATCAATAAAGCCCAGCAGCAAGAGGTAGACATTTCATTTAAAATTACTGTAGACAACATAAAAAATTTGAGAATCCACCTGCCAAGAGAAACTCAGGAGCTCTATGAACACAATTACAAAACACTTTTCACAAAAATAAAATCAGATCTAAACAACTGAAAAAATGTCAATTGCTCATGGCTAGGCCAAGTCAATATAATAGAAAATAATTCTGCCTAAATTAATTTGCTTATTCAGTGCCATACCAATCAAACTACCAAAAAAATATTTTATAGAGCTAGAAAAAATAACAAAATGTACCTGGAAGGACAAAAGATCAAGAATATCAAGGGAATTAATGAAAAAATAGGCAAAGAAAAGCGGTTTAGCTATACCAGATCTCAGACTATATTATAAAGTGGCAATCATCAAAACTGTCTGGTACTAAGAAATAGAGTAGTAGATCAGTGGAATAAATGAATTACACAATACACAGTAGAAAATCACATAGTAATCTAGTGTTTGATAAGCCCAAAGAACCTAGCTTCTGGGACAAGAACTCATTCTTTGACAAAAACGGCTGGGAAAACTGGAAAACAGTATGGTACAAAGTTAGGTATCGACCAACACAGTAACATTGTACTGTGAGATGAGGTCAAAATGGGTACATGATTTATACATAAAGGTTGATACCATAAGCAAATTAAGAGAGCAAGGAATATTTTATGTCAGCTCTATGGAGAAAGCAAGCATTTTTGACCAAATGAGAGATATACAGCATTATGAGATGTAAAATGGACAATTTTATTATATTAAAATTAAAAGGTTTTACACAAAACCAGTGCCACCAAGATTAGAAGGAAAACAGAAAGCTGGGAAAAATTTTTTTACAGAGTGTGTCTTTGATAAACACCTCATTTCTCAAATGTATAGAAAACTGAGTCAAATTTATAAGAATACAAGTCATGCTCCAACTGATAAATGGTCAAAGGATATGAACAGAGTTTTCAGATGAAGAAATCAAAGCTATCAAGTAATTTTAAAAATGCTCAAAATCACTATTGATTAGAGAAATGCAAATTAAAAGAACTCTGAGGTACCACCTCATACCTATCAGATTACCTAATATGACAGAAAAGGAAAATGTTAAATGTCGGAAGGGATATGGGAAAATTGGGACATTAATGTTCTGTTGGTAGAGTTATGAACTAATCCAGCCACTCAGGAGGACAATTTGGAACTATGCCAAAGGGCAATAAAACTGTGCATACCCTTTGATCCAGCAAAGAGATATAAAAAGGGGGAAAGGACCTACTTGTATAAAAATATTTATAGCAGCTCTTTTTGTGGTAGCAAAGAATTGGAAATTGAGGGGATGGCCATCAATTGGGCAATGGCTGAACAAGTTATGTTATATGAATGTAATGAAATGCTGTTGTGCTATGAGAAATGATGAGCAGCCAGATTTCAGAAAGACTTACATGAACTGATGCAAAGTGTAGTGAGTAGAACCAGGAAAACACTGTATACAGTAACGGCAACCTAGTGCTTTGATCAACTATGACTAACTTAGCTCTTTTCACCTATGCAGTGATCTAAGATGATTCCAAAGGATTCATGGTGGAAAGTGCTCTCTACCTTCAGAGAAAGAACTGATGGAGTCTGAATGCAGATCGAAACATACTATTTTCACCTTCTTTTTTTTTAATTTTTTGTTTTTTTTCTTCTTTTGGTCTGTTTATACTTTCACAACATGACTAATATGGCAATATAATTTACATGATTGCACATATATAACTGATATCAAATTGCTTACCATTTGGAGGAAGAGAGGGAAAGAGAAAATTTGGAACTCAAAATTTTTTAAAAATGGATTTTAAAAATTGTATTTATGTGTAATTGGAAAAAATAAAATGCTATTTAAAAAATAAAAGTAAAACAGGTGTAGCTTCCAGTAGTAGGGAGGTGATAGTCCCACTGTATTCTTTCTTCATCAGACATCTTCTGGAATGTTGTATTTAGTTCTGGTGATTATGGATTAAGATGTATTTTAATAAACTGAAGAATCTCTAGTTAGGAGTCAGATTGTGAAGGGCTTTAAATCTATTTTTGATTCCAAATACAATAGGGAGCCAATGGAATTTTTTGAATGGGGGAGTGATGTGGTCACATCTTAGATATAGCAAAATCACTTTTGCATTTGAGAATGGCTTGGTGTGAGGAGAGAGTTGAGTCAGGATGACCAATTAGGAGTTTATTGTAATGGTCCAAACAAGAAGTGAAAATTGCCTGATTTAGAGTGGTGTTCATGTGTATAGAGAAAAAGGGATATAATTTTATAAGTAGAAATGACGAGATTTGAAACTGGTTGGTTATGTAGGGTGAGGAAAGATGAGTCAAGGATAAGTTCAGCATAATTGTACACTTTGGTAACTAGAAGAATGATGGTGCCCTCAACAGAAAGAGGGATGTTCAGAAGTGAGATAGGTTTTGGAGAAATGATAGCGTTTTGTTTTGGAAGGGCTTTCACTTATTTGCAAGGAGGTGCATCCTGAAAAACCATTAGATTAAGTATCAGGAGACCTGAGTTTTATTCTCAACTGTGTTGGGCTTGTTATTGGGTATGTCACTTTACTATCCTGAAGCTTAATTTCCTCATCTGTAAAATGGGACAGAGATCTAAAATTATATTACTAATTTTCTTTTCCGCTCAATTTCTATGAATCATTTTCATCTTCAGAACCACTATCCATCATGCTACTTCCCCCAACTGACTTTTTAGTTAAAATTAATTTAGTTCTGAGAGGTTAAAATGAGTTTCTAACACCTCTAGAGATGATTGGAAACCTAAGAAGTAATAAGGCTGGGACTGAAATCATTTTATAAGAACATCTATTTTTCTCAGTTATAGTATATCTGACTATATAATCTCTTTGGGCCATTTCAAGCCAGCTCTAGAATTAGGTTAGCATCCTTATTAGAGTTTGTTAACACATTAAAAAATGAAAGAGAGAAAGATGTTATACGAGAGCTTGGATAAGTGTTGGCTTTTTGTCAAATGTTAGTAGGACTTAGGTCTACTGAGGAAGGAAGTTAATTAAAATTCCTCACCCTGTGGGCCATGACAGCAGCGGTTCATTGTGTCAAGCTTCTTAGCTTCTTTCTAACAATCCCTTTGGTCTCACCAGGCTCTTTTCCACATTCTTGATAGGAATTTTTGAGTGATCAGAAGAAGCAGTCATAATTACTTTTAGTATTTCAAAAGTGGAAGATAAAGTATAACCATTTGTTTAAAAAAAAACAGTGTTTTCTGATTATTTATGGCATAAAAGAAGTACTCAGGATCCTCTTTGTTTTGTCAGAGTAGCTTGTTTTTTCCTTAAAATAATAAGAGCTGATATGTGTTAGGACTTTAAAGTTTGGAAAATGAGGTGTGTGTATGCGCGGTGCAAACACACCATATACATATATGTATATTTTATAGCCAATAGGTGGTACAGTAAATAGAGTACCAGGCATGGAGTCAGGAAGATTCACCTTCCTGAGTACAAATCTGGCCTCAGACACTTACTGCCTGTGTGACCCTGGGCAAGTCAGTTAACCCTGTTTGCCTTTAGTTTCCTCATTTATAAAATGAGCAGAAAAATAAAATGGCAAACCATGTTGGTATCTTTGCCAAGAAAACCCTAAATTATGTCATGAAGAGTTGGACACAACTGAAAATGACTAAACAACAACAACAATTTTTACAGATAAGAAAATTGAAGGTTAGAGAGGTTAAGTGATTCACCTATAATGGCATAAGTAATCAAGTATTAGAGCCTGGATTTGAACCTAGGTCTCTTCTGACTCCAAGCTTTCTTTCTGTTATACTATAATGTTTTTCATATTCCTGATTAGATATAGAATAAATTGGGGGTGGGGAGAGTCACTTCCTTACAAAAATCAAGGCTCACATACAATTGTGTTCATCAGGTATGGGACAGTCAGATAGCCTAATTATCATATGTATTATCTCAAAATATTTTCTAGATTGTAACTTTAAAAAGTTCCTTTGTATTTTATTTGGAATAAATTTATTGAAGTAATTTAAAAACTATCAACGTAAAAACCCCTTTCAGAAGTTTTTTCAAGATCATATAAAAATTGCAAACCTATATTAATGACATAATTTAGGACAAAGGCAAGTCTAGGATGGAGATCTAGTAATAACCAAACTAACTATCTCTTTAAATCTTTTTTCTCTCAGTTTAAGAATGGTCCGTAGTGGCAAAAATGGTGGTCTTCATCTAAAGCAGATCGCATATTACAAGCGAACAGGTGAATATCATCCAACCACATTGCCAAGTGAGAGAAGTGGAATAAGAAGAGCAGCAAAAAAATTTGAATTCAAAGGTAAAGTTGACATTGAAAATTTGTCTTCCCAAAATTTTACCTTTGGAAAAGCCTTAGAAACTCAGAATTTCTGGTAAACATTACTTAATTTTTTTTTCTGTTACCAGGAAAAAAAAGTTTCCATTTTTACTATGTTGTTTTAAGTAATATCTCATTCCTTTTCCTTCAACCTCCTTATTCTCTAGCAAAGAGTACTTGACAGTAAATTGGTGTTGCCATTTCTATATTGATTCAATAAAAACTTAGAAAGAAAAGCTTGTTTGGGGCCACTAATGTTGACTCCTCTTTCATTAGTTTCATTTGATCACAAACAAAAAAGAAAATGTAAACTCTGCTCTTAAGATGACCTCTTTTGGCCAAATTTCATTTAAAGAATGATTTATTGTTCTGGTGGATCTTTCTTCCTGTTGCCCTGTTGCATGACATATATGCATGTCAAGCACTGACAGTGAATATCCCTTAAATTGTTGCAGAACATAGAGATAGGCTGGACAGCTGGCTTTGGAGTCAAGAAAACCTGGGGTCAAGTCCTATTTCAAACATTTCTGGGCTCTGTGACCTTGGGCAAGTCACAACCACTCTCAGTGCTCCCAAACAATTCTTTGAGCCTATAAATTGCAAAGCAGATTCAGATTTCATTGGTTGAGAGAGTTTCCTCATTGAGAAGTTCTCTATTATTATTGAGTTAACAGACCTCTGAATCCAAAAAGGTACCCAAATTTCTCCAGAGGATAAAATAAGATGGAAAAAAGCAGCCATGGATCATTTCCTAAAAGTCGAATGTGCTTGTTCTTTGTTTCTCCAATATGTTTTCCTTCAGATGAAGACAGAGAAATATAAGTTAAACAATATATTTCAGTAGGTCTACTAAGCCAAATTAATACTATTAATTTTAGCAAGTTTGCAAATTTTACTCAAGGATATAGAAATAGGAATTCCTCTAAGCAGCTGAAGGGCATTCTTACACCTTACACCTTACGAGGGTGGGCACACCCTTTCCAGTAATCCCTCAGTTTATGTACAGTGAAACAGGCCATATATAAGAAAGAGAACAAGAATGTGTTACTTGTTCTACTTTGTCTGCAGTTAGTTATAGTGAGGGCTCTTGTACTACATGCACATAGACAAAAAGTGTATGTACCACCCACTTCTCCTTGATAAAAATGAACATAGTTATTATTTTTTTCCTGGTAGATTCCCAAGGAAACTTTCTTTCTCATTCAAATAAATTTTTTCCCAGAATGAATTGTGTAAAGTTGATTATACAAATTTTAACTCTTGTGAAATGTTAAAAGTAGGAGATGAATGTAGGGGGAAAACATTGTAAAATCTAAGAGTCAACAAATATTTATTAAGGAATTATGTGCTGAGGTATTATGCTAAGTGCTGGGATTACAAAGAAAGTCAAAAGCCAATTCCTGCTCTCAAGGAGTTCACAGCCTAATAACGGAGAGGACATGGAAACAACTGTGTATAAACAAGATATAAATAAGGAATATTGGAGATGATCTTAGAGGGAAGGCACTAAGATTAAAGAGGACTGAGAAAGGCTTCGTAATGATAACAATAGCATTTATACGGTGCTTTAAGGTTTACAAAGTGCTTTACAGATTTTATCCTTAAAACAGTCTTTGGAGGTAGGTGCTATCATTATCCACATTTTACAAGTGAGGAAACTGAGGCAGACAGAAGTTGAGTAACTTGCCCAGGGTCACACAGCTACTAAATGTCTGAGGCCAGTTTTGAATTCAGGTTGTCCTAACTCCCATGTCCAGGGCTCTGTCCACTGTACCTTCTAGCTGTCTTATAAAAGGAGACAATTAGTCAGGAGATGAAGAGGGAGAGAGTTCCAGGGATGGGAGACAACCAGTGAAAATACATGGAGTCAGAAGATAAGAATGTTTAATTTTCTAAGCCTGACCCCGACTGCTGACCTCTTCTTTTGGTTTGAGTTATCTTACCAAAGTTATTCTGAGACTGATTTATTTATTAGAATTGGACTTAACTGAAGTCATTCTGGAACTGAATTTATTTGAAGAATATTTTTAAAAGTACTTTTTTAAAAATTTGGGATCATGTTTCTCATGGTTCCAAAAATCATTTACCTCAAGGAAGCATAGAAACCATCTTTATAGACACTCAGTCTTTGTCTATGATTGATGAAAATACTACTTCAATTTAAACCACTGCAAAGTGAAAGGTTCCTCTTAATTATTTGGTGTATATATAACCATTAAGAACCTTTTAGATATGTTTTGAAAACAGCTTCATAAATATTCTTATTTTTTGAAGGTGGAAGATTTGTAAGAACTATTTGGGAGTTAAATGAATAGGTAAAATTATAAGCTAAATGTCATAGAATAAAGAAAACATAAATCTCAAAAAAAAATAATGTTCTATGTTTTATCATTTCTTCTAGAGAAAAAGCTATTCTATGTTGGAAAGGACAAGAAACAAAATCGTTTGGTAATTATCTCAGAAGAGGAGAAGAACAGAGTCCTAAGAGAGTGCCATGAAAATAACACTGGGGCTCATCATGGCATATCCAGAACTCTTACTCTAGTAGAATCTGGTTACTATTGGACATCTGTGACCAATGATGTCAAACAGTGGGTATGGTTATAGGGTTAGACTATTTAAATAGTATTGTTGTAATGCACACACCAAAGGTGGCTTTTGGCCCAGACTCACTATTGTTGAATAGTGATACTGTCTGTCATCAAGGTCATTTGCTTTAGTTCAAGAAGCATGGTGTCATTTTGCCAGAATCGTAGTTTTCTCTTCCAATTAGACAAAATTCAGTCAGTCAGCAAGTATCTATTATAAGCATTTAATATGTACCAGGAATTGTGCTTATCGTTAGGGATACAAAAAAAGGGGGGGGGAAACAGTTCTTATCCTCAAAAAGAACTGCCATTTTAATGGAGGAGAGAAAGTGCAAAAAATTGTGCAGAAAAGATATATAATACAGTGTAAATGGAAGGTAATCTTAGAGGAAGACACTAGCAATGCATAGGGACTGGGAAGGGGTTCCTATAGAAGGTGGGATTTGAGCTAAGTCCTGAAGGAAGCCAGGAAAGACAGGAGGTGGAAGTGAAGGTGAGAAAATTCCAGGTATGAGTAACAGTTAGTGAAGAGGCAGGGTCAGGAGATAGAGTGCCATATAGGAGGAATAGTACAAAGTCCAGTCACCTTGGGTCATTGATCATATGGAGTGTGGTAAAGAATAAGAAGACTGGAAAGATAGGAAGGGGCCAGTGGATATTGTAAAGTGAAAGGTAGTTTTTATTTCTTTTGCAGAAATCTCCAGAAAAATCAGTGTGTGGGGGGTGGGAGGGAAGAGTAGAGTGTGGGGTATATTTGGAATGCACAGAAGCATTTTGAATGACGTTGTTTAATTATGGGAAAAAAATCAGTGTGCAATAAAAATTTTTACACTGTAAAATATTACATTCATAGAAAAGTCTATTTTGGTCTATATTTTCATGAATGAACTCCTGTGTGATGGCAGAAATTAAATGGGGTCAGAATTCATTCTGTCTCAGATCAGTTATCTCTGAACCTTGGAGTCCCAACTTGTCATTTAGGGATGGCACTTTCCTCTATTGATACTGTCATGAGTTGCTGACTTTTTCTTCCTATTACGTGTTTCCCCAATAAAAGACAAAGATAGTAGAAATTCAAAAGAGAATTTAGGAAGATATGTCATCATGTACAAAGTAACATAATGAAGCCTTTTTAAAAATTTCTCGCTGGTTATACTCCCTCCACTGGTACAGATTGCAACCTGTTGACTCCTTATCATTCTGTGCAGTTCTTGTCCAAGACTTCCCAGGGACCCTCTATCAAGGATTCTCCTGATGTGCAGTGCTTGGTCTTTCCATTCCTCCCTCTGGCTATTTGTCCTGCCTACCTCTTCCTATTTTTATTGGCTGATGTCTTTTGTGGTGCTTCTTATTCATGAATTCTCATCACTGCATAGTGCTGCATTAATATGCTGCAGCTATTACATACATCACTGTCTTTGGGACTCCCTGAAGTTTTGCTTTGTAGAAAATATGGTTCTTTGTAATTCATAGCCATCAGGAAAATATTGATATCCTTTTTTTTTTTTCCCATTGGGTCTTTGTGTTTGGGAGCCACTTGGGATCCTTGACATCACAGCCCACCTTCCCTGATACAATCCACTGCATTCACCCCCTCCTTTTCAGTTTTTGGGTTAGCTCACTATCTGTCATTAGGGTCTACATATAACCTATGTACTGATGGACTGATTTGGTGGACTTTTCATTCATGTTCATTTGAAAAATTGGGCAATATTGCTTTTTCTCTACTTTTTCACAGTATGCCTGTCTTTTTTTTTTTTCTTAAGCAGCTATGGCTGTCATTTAGGATTCCCTATAGTTTTCTGAGACCTGATGTAATGAGTATAGGGGTCAGCCCTAAACATGAGCATTTGGTGAATCTCATTATACATAGAGAATCCTTCTTTCATTTGGGATACTCCACAGTTCATTCTCTGTGACAGTGATGGATGCTTTTGGCAAGCACACATCTTATCATTTTGGGCCTTGTTATTGATAATCTCTACATTATGCAACAAGGTTGAAACTCTGGTTTAAGCTATCAAGTAATCTTATATAGTCTTACTTTAGCATATTCTTGGGAAATCAGAGAACCTAGATTCAAATCCTGCCTCCAGTGTTTATTGTTGTGTGATCTTGGGCAAATTCTTCGCTTCTCTAAGACCAGCTATTTCTTCATCTGTACAATGAGGGCCTTGGACTAGATGGCATCTGAGGTTCCTTCAGATTTTAGATCTGTGACCTGTGATCTCTCCAATGTGTGGAAATGCCATATTGGTGGAGAGTTTTTAAGGGTTCAGTTTGTTTTGTTGAGTCAAATACACTTTTGCAATCAATTAACATTGGGATAATAATAATAATAAGACATAGCATTAATATAGGACTTTGAGGTTTGTAAAGCACTTATACATATTTATCTATCTAGATATAGATATGTATGCAATCTTACTTGATCCTTACAACAACCCTGGGAGGTAAGTATTATTTTTATCCCTGTTTAATAAATGAGCAAACTGAGGCAGGAGAGAATTTAATTGATTTGCCTAGGGTCACATAGCTGATGTCTGTCAGGATTTGAACTCAGATCTTCCTGACTCCAAGGCCAGTACTCTATCCACTGCAACACCTGAAAAACACTATAAAGCATAGTCTGTGAAAGCCTGTCATTTTCTTTCTCAGAGTTTCATTGTGACCATCTCCACAAAGGTGACCAAAGTAAGCTATATGTGTCAGATGTTGCTGATGTCTTCTCTTTTTACTAACACCTGATTTTTCCTATTCTTTTTCAGTCTATTCTCCCTTCATCAATAACTTGAAAATTGATTCCTGAGGGACTTGAACATTATGAGACCTTTTATATAGATTTCTTATGTGTACATTAATGAAGTTTAATTACCCTTCCTGACTTCATGGTTAAAAAAAAAACAAAACAAAACGTGGTTTCTACTTCCTGATGTCAACACTTGGATATTAAGACTGTGGTTTAGCTGCCATCAATGATGATAAATGATGTAAAACATGTAAATCTGTTCTGTGTTGTCTGTTTATGGTCCTTAAATTAGCCTATTAGTGCTTTGGGTATCATTTGGTTTAATTGGGTCCTGAGCCAATTTAACGCAGGCTTAATTTTCCCTCTGTTTCTTTTATCTGTTTTGTAAGGTGATCAATTCCCATAACCTCTTACTACTGTAGCCTACATGATATTTTGTAAATAAGTTTGTATATTAAATCACTGTTAGCTTTAGCTGCCTTGTCTTTCCAGCTAGCAAGGAAATTAAGTGTCTGCACTCTCATGGAGTTCATTGAGAAGGTGTCTTCATTGAGGCAATTATTTTATATCAATTTGACTTCTTTTAGTAATGGTGATTATCTGAGTTTATGTCTTTTATCTTTCCCTTTTTTCCCCACTGGTTTATTTAAATGATTCGGAAGTTGTAGTTGCTTTTAACTCTACATAGTGTATTCCCATTCTTATCCTTATAATTAGTTTTGATTTTGAACTTTACTACAGTGGATAGAGCACTGGGCTTGGTTATCAGGAAGACTCATCTTCATGAGTTCAAATCCAGCCTCAGATACTTATTGTCTTTGTGACCCTGGGCAAGTCATTTAAACTTGTTTGCCTCTGTTTTTCATCTGTAAAATGAACTAGAGAAGGAAATGGGAAACCGTTCTAGTATTTCTGCCCAAAAAAACCCCACCCAAACAGGAGAGTCTGACATAACTGAAATGACTGAGTAACAAAAACAGTTAATCAATGTTATAATTGCACAATGTCAGCTCACTTGAAAATATTCCTTATTCCAAGCAACAGCCCATTCCTGGGTGCTAAGATATAAACAGTTTCATTTTTTGTGATGTTGATTTGTGCTCCCCTATCCATTGTGTTCCCCAGTTCTAGGTCTGTGATTTCTTTTTGAAGAAAGTATTAATACTATAGATGCTTTGAGTAATCTACAAACTCTTAGACTCTTTAATTTTTTCATCCTGAACCATATTTTATAATACATTTTTGCCTTATTGATGCCTTTGGTTGTACTTTCTTGTTAAGAGAAGGGATCTGTGTTTCATCATTTCTCTGGAACAGAGTTTGATTGTTAAAATTCATTGAAATTCAGCAACTTTTTAATACCATTTCATTTACATTATTTTAGCCTTTGGGTGTATTGTTCTCCTGACTTCGCTGGGCCTTAATTCAGACAAATCTTTCCATGTTTTTATGAAGTCCTCATAATTACATTTTCTTGCAATGTAATAACATTTCATTGTATTCTTGTGCTACAGTTTGTACTCAATTGATGGGAAGCTATTTTGTTTACAGTTTTTTCATTGCATTATAGGTTTAGAGCAAGAATGGGTCTTAGACAATATCTAGTCTAACTTCATTTTGAAAATGAAGAAAAGGGTTTGGAGAAGTTTAAGTTTTCTCAAGGTCACAGATCTAGTAAGTGGCAGAGGTGGGATTTGAACCCAAGTCCTCTAATTCTAAATCCTGTGTGTTTTCCACTGTACCGTTTTACTGTATCATTTTATAGATGAGAAATTGGGGCACAAGGTGGTGGAGGATCTCTCCCACAATCACAAAGGTACTAAGTGGCATAGCTAGGCTTGAAGCCATATCCTTGACTCTAATTCTAGTATTTTTTCATTAGACCAGACTAACTTATTCCCTCTTTTGCCACCACAAAAGTGTCCCAATCTGGGTTTGGTTTTTTTTTTTTTGGTTTCTTCCTCTGACTTCCCATTGAAGTCATGGAATATCAAGGCATATGATCATGCGATCTGAAAAATCTTGACAGATTCTTCATAGAATTTCTCTGCTTCTTCTTATGCACTAAACCTTGGCACATAAGCCACGATTATATTCATGGTGGTCTTTTTGCGATTGCTCATCGTGGACACTTGAAGGCAAAAATGACCAAATAGTCAATGAAACAATATTTCTTGTTGCTTCCAAGTGTTTATGTGCTTCTCTATGAGAAACCTCTGAGCTCTCCTTCCATTTATCTTCAGTTTCTGTGTCTTCTA